AAGTTCTTTTCCCATTGGAAAGTTGAGCTTTGTCACAGCCTGGGCCAGGGGACTGCGTGGCCCAGGGAGGCGAGTTCCGCAGGGGCCGGGATGGCGGCAGAGCCAGCCCTGGTGTAACGGGCACTTGTGCGTCCCTGCCCCCAGGAGATCATTCTGAAGCGAGCGGCCGACATCGCCGAGGCCTTGTACAGCGTCCCCCGCAATCACAACCAGATCCCCGCCCTGGGTAACACCCCCGCACACACGGGCATGATGGGCGTGAATTCTTTCAGCAGCCAGCTGGCCGTGAACGTGTCCGAGACGTCCCAAGCCAATGACCAAGGTAGGCGGCCTTGTGGGCAGCCCCGGGCCCTGGATGCCCTTCTTTAGCTGCAGCTGGACGTGCTGGGAACCCGGTGGGATGGCCACAGGGGCCCTGGCACCTGCCTCCGCCGTGCCCCTTCTCCCAGCCAGGGCTGTGCCAGGAGTGCCCAGAGGACTGGGGCCTGACCAGGCATGCTTGACGGGGTTCACCAGAGCTTCCCCTGACGGACTCAAGAACACGGTGCTTCCCTGACCGGGCTTAGCCCGAGCACAGCTTGAGTGCCGGAAGCCAGCAGGAGCCGCCCTGGGTGTCAAGTCCGGAAGGAGTCACTGCCAGGGCTGAGGGTCCAGGGGCAGGGGTGCGCCTCCGCTTCCACCCCTGCCTTCTCCTGTGGGACAGGGACCCGGGCCGGGCCGAGGGCCCGGCACCTTGTGGCTTGAGCCGTTATCTGAGTCCACTTGAGTCTGCTTCCCCTTTAAGGCCCACTCAGGTGGTCAGGTGGTCCTCTCGGGAGACACTCCTCGCACCCCACCCCCACTCGGAGATGAGCGCCACGCAGGTTTTCGCGGGGAGTCGGGCCACAAACAAGCTCCCCCTGTCAGGCCTGGCATTTGAATGTCTGTGGGGGCTCAGAGTTCACCGAGTGTGGGGGACAGAGCGGGGTCCGAGCGCTGGTAATTGCATCCGAGGAGAGCGGTGGCTGACGGGCAGATCGAAGCCCGCTCGGGCCGCTGTCGAAGCCGGTGGAGACGGAGAGGGGCTGGCGTGACAAGGTTACCCACGCCGGCTAGGGGGAAGCTGAGGTCGATCCCGAATGTTTAAGCTATGGTGTAGATTCTTGGGGAAGCCCCCCTCCCCCCCAGGTGTCTGTCGCTGATAATAACGTTATTTTTGGCCGGGGGGGGGGTGAATTTCAACAGTCGGCTACAGTCGCAATACAAGCAGCGTGTCCCCGCGAGGATACGTACCCAGCAGTACTCCCCAGCAGTCCAATTACAACACAGTGAGCACTAGCATGAATGGATATGGAAGTGGCGCCATGGCCAATCTAGGGGTCCCTGGCTCGCCTGGATTTCTTAATGGCTCCTCCGCTAACTCTCCCTACGGCAGTAAGTGTCTGTTTTTGTCACACGTCATCACGCACATTCATACCACTACCAAGTCGAGTGTGTGCATTGCTTGGGTGTTCTGTGATGTGAGCTACTGGATAAAAGGAAGGGTGGCCCCAGAGGCTGGGCGTCCCGATGGCGACCGCGCGTCGCCCCCCAGAACGCGGCCCCTCCCCGCCCCACGCCATCTCTCCACGGGCAGAGGTGCCCTGCGCCCGCCGTCCCCAGCACTCGCCCCGTCTCCAGCGCGCGGCCCAGGCGGAAGCGTGTGGTTCTGTTGGTGGGCCTCCCCCGGGCGGGGCCTGCGTGCTGACGTGTTTGCTTTGTTGCAGTAGTGCCGTCCAGCCCCACCATGGCAGCCTCTTCGGTCACCCTCCCTTCAAACTGTAGCAGCACACACGGCATTTTCTCATTCTCACCTGCCAATGTCATCTCCGCAGTGAAACAGAAGAGCGCCTTCGCGCCCGTGGTCCGGCCCCAGGCCTCCCCTCCTCCCTCCTGCACCAGCGCCAACGGGAACGGACTGCAAGGTGGGTGAGGATGGCGGGCCTGCCCCGGGCTGTGCATGCTGCTCTCCCGGCCCCACTTGCCAGTGCCGCAGGGGGCCGCCTTCCCTGGCCAGTACGAGGCTGCGCCTCTTGGTCCTGGTCTATCTCTCCCTGGTCTCTTCCAGCAGCCAGGCCTGTCCGCCCTGACCTGGCACTGGGCTGGGGCACGGCCCACCGTGGTTCTGGGCTGCCAGGCAGCCCCAGGCCATGAGTGCGGGAGAGGGGCCATGGCTGGCCGCAGCCCTGTCCGTGCATGGGCGTCAGAGATGCTCGAGGGACAGGGACGCGGGGGCGCCATCTGGACCGATCTGTGTGGAGAAGGGGTCCGTGGGAGGGGCACCCAGCCCTTCTAGCCAGTGAGGTGTGCACCTGGTGATGCCAGGTGGACGCCCCAAGCCTGGCAAGCCGGCAGGAGGCTCTGCGCACCTAGCCCCTCAGGCGCTTGCACTAAGTGGCCGTCGTCTGGCCTCTTGCACACACCGCCCTTGGTTTATGCTCCTCCTGCTCAAAGTCAAATCCAGTTACTCCTTGAAAACCCATGAATCCATTCAATCAGTATTTACCGAGCGCCTACTATGTGCCAGGCTCTCTGCTGGGTGCCGAGGACGTAGCCGCGGAGAAGACAAACTGGCCCTTTTGTGAAGTCGGTGGGATATTTCACTTTGATGAACTAATGCTCAAAAAAGGACCTGGCAAGGTATCACGGTTTGCAATCATTGTCTTGACACCCGTTAGTGCAGGAGGGACGCCCAGGCTCTCCCAGCGCTGCCACCCGGCCAGGGCCGCCCCCGCTCGCAGCTGCTGAGGGCTTGCACCTCGTGTGTGGCCACCCAGAGCTGGCACCGCACCAACAGCGTGCGCACACAGGTCTTGCGCAGCACAAATGTTGTAACAGTGAGTCGGAGGTAAATTAACATTCTTGAGATTAATGACCTGAGAAATGGAAGCACACATCACTACACGAACAAATGTATTAATATGTTATGCATAAATTAGCGAGAGCCATCGTTTTGACAAAAATTAAACCACGCTGGAGCTGAAGGCCCTCCTGTTAGGCCAGTACCGGTCCATGGGCCGGCCTCGAAGCCCCATCCTGAGTCGAGGCGAGAAGTGGGCACCCTTGGACCCCAGTTTCTGGGGGCCCAGGATTCTCAGGTTGCAGAGCAGGTGGGCTGGCAAGGTGGTGACCCACGAGGGCCCCCGACTCACTGTTACAACTCAGAACGGTTCGCAGAGTGTCAGGACTGAGGCCTGACGCAGAGGGGAAGCCGAGGCCAGGCCAGCTGTCCCTGAGGGAGCCAGGAGATTCCAGGCTGGCCCGAGAGGAGAGACAGCCAGTGTCAGGGGCCCGACGTCCGGTTGCTTCTGCTGGAACCGGTCAGAGCGGCCGCCCTTCTCGGCAGATGCTGCGAGAGAGGGGCCTTGAGGGTTTCTGCCCCCCCACTGCAGGTTCCCCAGCGCCCTTCCCCTCACCCAAGGCGGGTCAAGGGGAGGATGGCGCAGAGGGCAGGGCATACCTGGCCGCGGTGGCGGGCGTGTGCACGGTGTGGCCTCCGGCAGTAACTACTGTCCCCTCCTCCCTTGCAGCTATGTCTGGGCTGGTAGTCCCGCCCATGTGAGGGGCGTTGCTTTGCCTTCCCTGGCACCCGGCGTCACAGACGGACTTCAGGGGACACGTTTGGCATAGCGGGGCGTGCTGGCGCCAGACGCATCTTGGAGACCATCAGCAGCCGTCCAGACGCTACAAAAGACTTTGTTTAAAGATTTTATTTAAACTATTAAGAATCAACATGCAAACAGCCTACTTCTTCATGAACAATTCCATTTTGATTGACTGAACTTTTCTCGTATTTTCACACTTCTCAGTCCTGGTGAACAAGGACAAGAAAGCAACGCCTATTTTGTATAAAGTCTGACCCCGTCTTGGCTCTGTCTAGTACTTGCTATCTGTGTTGGGAGAAACTTCGTGAATGCACCATTTTGATGATCATGAATATCATGAATCACTGAGGAAAAATGCCTCCGGACATTTTTCTGTACTCATACTTAGATTCACAATGGTTGTGTATCTCTATAATGTGAAATATTTTTTTGTGGTGAACAAAGGGGGCCAAGGAGGTATGAGCCATCAGACTGGAAGGAGACGATGACTATAAGATTAGGAAGAGGGGGGTGGGGGCGGGGAGGGCGGGTTTATCACTGCTTAACTTCATCTTAATGAAACGAAACTTTGTAACTTATTGTAGTTAGAAAATGTCCCTTTGCTATTGAATCTCGCCTTCAGCAAGCACACTGACAGAGCAGAACCGTGCTCCTGTCTGTCGGTCCGATCTCGCCCACTGCTAGAGCTCCTTGTCAAGCAAGTGTGATCTGCAACATTTTTTCCACTTTTGCTAGCACTGTATACTGTTGCATTCTTAGGCTACTGTGAGGTCTGTTTCTTGTACCAGCTTGTCCTTTACTTCTAGGTCCTTCTTCCCTAATGTGTTTTGTATGTGGTTATAAAATTGTAGACTTTTGTGATTTTGCCAAAGTTGTAGCTAAATATTTATACACTTGTCTTGAATTTTTTTCAGATCCACTGAAAGATTTAGAAAAAAAAAAAAACAAGTTTTATTCCTTATGTGTCTTATAAGGGATAAAATGGCTTCCATCCAGTCCTTGCGTTCCCCACTGATAGCTGCAGTTGCTACGGGACTTTATTTTGTAACATATCAATTATAAATATTGTATTTATCTTTGAGATTTTGTACATTGCCTCCCGTCAGTTTCCTTTTCCCGTCTGTATTGGTTTCCGACCATGGCCTGGTGTTGTGACGCTGGAAGAGCATTAGCCAAGACTTGTCTCTGCTCTCTTCTCGTTAGCCCAACCGTGTCCCACCCTTGTGTTTGTACTTTAAGCATCAGCTATTGTTTAGACTTTCCATCCTATTTTTTTTTATTGTTTTGAGAAAAAGTCAAATCCATCGTTTATTTTTATATTATTTTTAAGTTATCTGAACAAATACTTTTGAAAAAAGAAGTGTGTTATAGTCAAAGCGAAGCGGTGCCAGCCGGCTGAGACAAACCCCAATGGATCATGCATGCGTGTGCAGTGGCCGCGAGGCGGCGGCACCTGTGGGGCTGGTCCTTTTTATTTTTTTGTAGAATGTAAGAAGTCATTTTAGCTGTCACCCATGACTCTGCCACATACATATAGCTGAACCGTGTTTACTGGAAAATTCAGAGGCCTAAAGTTTAAAATTAAATTTACTTCTGATGTTTTGATTAAAATGTTTGCCACATGAACTTCTCTGATGCCTTAAAAGTGGACTTCTTTCCAAGAAAACACACAGGCGAGACCTCTGTGCTGTTTTCTCACGGGCTGATGCCACAGCTGTTAGAGATGGTGTGAAACCACACACACACACGCACGCACGCACGCACACAAAGCACAAACCTGCTGCCCATGCCACCCCTCCCCGGGCCCCTCAGCTGCCCAAGGCACCCTGCGCGGGCCCTCGGGCAGCCAGCGGCCCTTTTTTAATGATGCATTTTCCAGCTCAGATCTGGCTGCTGCCCCGCCAGCACGGGGCAGGCCGGAGTGACCTCTGGGAGTGGTGGTGCCTATTAGTGCCAAACCCACGGTGAGACCAGGCGGCCCACGGTTCCTTCTGCACTTGGTGGCCGAGGGACACGGTGCGGGAAGCCTCATGCACACTGCAGCAGCCATCAGAGGCAGAGCCAAGAAGGGGGACTTGAGCAGCCTTGTTGGACCAAAACAGCAGTGCACAACTCAGACGGTGTTCCTCAAGGCACTCAGGTGAGTGACAGATGCTGCGCCCACTGTGGCCAGAGGGCCACCCCCCAGCTCAGCTTGGAGAGCAGCCCGAGACGTCATTTGGGAACCAAATCTACTCTGCTTAGATTGTGTCTGAACGAGGGTTTGCTCCACAGAAGAGTTCCATGTCCGTGCTAAGAGCGTTTGCAAACTCCTTCATCCCCACACTTGATTTGTGTCTTAGAGAAAAATTAGTCGGCGCCCTCGTGGCTTCGTTGTCTCAGATCCGAGCGCTCCACTCAATGGTAGATTTTACTGTTAAACCCTACAATGAGATTGTTTTATCTGTACATTTTTTTCAGATATTTAACTGTATAAAAATGTTCATTTTACACAATATTTAATTAAAGTATTTCTTGTCTGTGAATTTCACTTTTGGCAGTCTTCTCTGTTTTCATTATTGCATTGTCTCAAGCATGCACACTCCAGTTACTGTGGGTGTTTGCTGGTACACAAGTGCGAGGTCTGGAACTTGACCCTTCTGAGTTACCAGAACATTCCAGCAAGCTGCCAGTCTGTCATTGCAGCTGCGCAATGCCCACCATCACCGTGGGCTCCGATCCGGGATGTGTGAGATGTGCCTTGACACACATGGGATGTGGCACAGCCTCCACCATCAAGCCTGCTCCCCACAGAGGGCATGGCAGGTGGAGGACAACAGCCCTGGCTGTCCCACACCCATATGCCACCTCAAGTGCCCCTCGGCCAAGAGAATAGCGGCCAAGGTGGGGTGGGCAGACTCCCAGAGCACTGGGTGCTGGCTGAGGCCCAGTGTGTGGGCCACCAACCCCAGCCGCCATGGCCTGCGCGGTCCGCTACTGGCTGCCTATTAGCATAGCCAAATGCACCAGAGTAATGAGGTTAGCTGTGCCCACACGGGTCCCAGCCTGCACCGCTGCCACCACAGGGCTCAGTTTGCGGGGGCCTGTGGTGCACCTGCTGCATGGCACTTCTCTGTGGTGGCAGCGGGCTGGCGTGTTTTGGCTTGCAGCTCTGTCGCACCTACATGCAAGTGTGATGTAAATTAGCACTCACAAATGTCATCCTAATTAGTTGTTCTGCTGAGCAAAACAGGAAACAACCATTCAAAACATACAGGAACTTGCGAATGCCTTCTGCAGTCAAGGGGAATCACGCTCAGGCCTTAAAGAGACAGCAGGAGAGAGGCTCTCGGGACGCCCGCCTGCAGCCGCCTCCTAAGCCCCCTGTGCCCCAAGCTGCCTGGCACAGGGTTAAGCTGGAGCCAGGCATGCCCGGCTGCCTTGTCGGGACCCTGTGAGCTGCGGTTGGGGGTTGCTGGTAGGAGAAAAGTTCGCTAGTTCCTTTTTCAAATCCAGAGCAAGCACCCGGTGCTCTCCCCAGACACACGCCAATCATGGTCAGGGAGCCTTTTAAGATCTCTCAAGCTTTTAAAGATTATTCAAAGCACTTGAAATGGGCTTCAATCTAATGCCTCATTTCATTGCATTAAACAGCCTGGTTAATAAAGAATCGATATATTCAAAGGGCAAGGTTATCTTTTGTCTATAAGGGGTGGTGTCATTCTCAACCTTTTATAGTTCAAATGCTGAGAAAGAGCTCGGGAATCCGTGCTCATCTGTGGGTCAGGGAGAGGCTGAGCCCCTGCCCGGGAAGAAAGGCCGGCCTCCGGCCAGCAGCCCCGCTCCTGCCCGCGCGAGCACCCACGCAAGTCGCCAGCCAATGTCAATTCCTCATCAAGACAGGAGGCCACAGCGATCATTTTTTTTCTTTTTGGCAGAGAACGCACACAATTCAGACTGCAGAGAAGGGCAGCCATCTCACAGGGCTGTTGATAACGGGGCGTCGATATGCCTGCGTGGTCCCCCTGCTCAATGCGAGCCCTTGTGCGCCCCTTTTGCCCGCCGATCCTGGGGCCTGATAGCAGCTGAGCTGCCGATGGACACAGCGGGTCGGCCCTTGCAATTAACACCATGAATAAATCACACAAAAGACTTGGGGTGCTTTGTACTCGGTGAGACAATCCCCTGTTTACCCTTCAAGGATTCCTTTTATGTGGGAATAAGGTTGCTTCTAATGAAATTTAAACTCATCAGAGGAAATCAAAAACCTCCAATCAGATTACAAATTGATTTTTTGGTCATTTGTCATGTCCCGGTGTGGAGCCGCAGGTCTCACTGCGAGAGGGTCTCTGTTCCCAGGCTGGGAGCGGGTGTGGACAAAGCGTCCCTCCCCTGTGGCCAAAGACAAACTGTGTTCTCTGGCCTGCGAGGCCTGGATGCTGGCAGGAACCCTCAGGCCCGGGCCTGGGTGTGGACACCAGTCTAGGCTGACAGATGTCCAGGGATATCGCAGGAAGCTGTGGTCATCTCTGCCCGTGGACAGCGTGGGGCATGTGGGCTGGGTGGGCAGCAGCCCAGACAAGCTCTCCTGGCCATGCAGGCAGAAGGCAGTCTCAGCCCCAAGCACTGTTGAGTCAGCCCCCACCACGTCTCCTTGGAGCCAGCCAGGCATCAGCTCCACATCCCATGGGCTCCCCTGTGCCACTGGGACACACAGCCTGCGATACGCCCTTCCTGCCTCCATTCCTGGGGTGGTAGTCCAGGCCCAGACTCTGAGCCTTGGTGTGAGCCCCAGGGCGAGTGCTGGCCCTCCCAGGAAAGCCTTGACCTGGGACAGAGTGGGGGCAGGTGCTGCTTCTAGAGGCGGCGGGTGTCCCTTCTGCCAGAAGTCTCCTTAGGTACCACTTCTTAAATAGGGTCTCTAGACTATGTCCAATAACAGGTACCCATCTCTGTTGCCCGGGGTGCGAGTGAGGGTGGGGAGGGATGGGGCTCTTCACTCACAGCACCTTAGTGGGTCTTTCACAGGTCAGGATGTCACTTGTGTTTTTATGGACAGAATGGTGGGTGGGGTAGGGGAACAGGTGTTCTAACACCCCAGGGAGACAGCCAGAGGGAGTGACAACCAAGTCAGGTTTGGGTCAAGAAAGGAAGGAGGCTCCGGAGGGTCCAGCAGTGTCCCCCAACCCCCACCCCTGCCCTGGGGGCCTGATGAAGACCTGCAGAACATCATAAAGAGGGCAGCTGATGTCCAGTCGCTGGAGAAGAGGAGGGGTGCTGTGAGTGTCAGAACACAGGGCACAGAGGGGCACGAGGTCCCGTGACGCCCAGCTCAGTGTCCGCCCCCACGTTCTAGCATTCCTCCAGAGCCTGCTCCTGACTGCTTTGGTTTGTGCTTCTTTAAGGAAGCTCCTGATGCGTACAACCAAACTACTGCAGACACTTAGAGAAAATTATTTTGAATTGGCACTACGAGAAAGCCCAGGAACGCACAAGGCCTTAGACTTAATGCACAAATTCATACATACATACAAATATGTACAAGCAGTTTTTCTAGAATAATAACGGACACTTGGCAACAAGATTGTTAAAATGTCATCATTGAAAACAGTGTGCAAAGTGCTCAGTGCTGAGGAAGAAAACCGCAGAAGCAATGCCAGCGGTGTGCTCGGGCACTGCAGGGCTGCCCAGCGTCTGTGAGCGGAGGCATATACCATGTTCATGGACTGCAAAACTACCTGCTGAAAATGTGCCAATTCTCCCCAAATGGCCCTACACAATCAGCGCAGTCTCAAATTTCAGTGGACGTCTTTCTTGAAACTGACAACCTGGGGCTGGCATTGTGTCACAGCAGCTGGACTCACTGGCGGTGGCAGCTCCCAGATCTGAGAACTTTTGAGAGCTCACACGACACCCCACGCGGAAACTCCTCCATATCACGTGACAAGGGACAGAGTGCAGGCAAGGAGAACACACACACGTGTTCACAGAAGGGAGGTGAAGGCGTTGGGCAGCCTGGACATGTCGCCCGCACGCCCTACCCACCGCTTTCCGCTCTGTTCTGCGGAGACATTGCTGCAAATGCCAAAAGCCTGCAGTTGTGCCAGTGGG